GGACGGATTATTTTCATCATTTTGAAATAATACAAAAGGTACCTTCTGTCAATGTCTGACCTAGTCCTGTGCTTATACTACTTAAACTCTCCCGGACCTGTGGTTTAGACAATTTCTACTTGAAAGCGTGAAAATGATTTGTATTTAAAAGATAATAAAGTAAAGTTGACGAGCGTGAACTGGAGAAATCAGGACTTTAAAATCTCTCTAGGATACGTTTTGAGAAAGTCGTCTTCCATAACACATGTACTATTCCTCATTTGAGTCGGACCAATGGTAAACTTCTAGTACTGGAAGTTTAAGCTAACCCAGGCGTACACATGAGAAATAATAAATAATTGCAATAAAAATCCTATTTAACATCCCTACATCGTCAAGAAGCATAATTAAAAATTACCTCCAAAGGTAGCATTTAAACCTCCCAAGCTCTCACTCCTCTCGGTAACCTCTAAACTTCCCAAACCCAAATTCCGCTCAATTTTCCCAGTATCTCTGCCAAAACGCCCTAGACGAATTCCTTCCCAAGGTCCATTCTCCTCATCCCGAGGCCGCCTGAAAGCGTCTAAACCGTCCCGCACCTCTTCAACGAAGCCCCGAAACTCGGTCCATCGTTCCGATCGTTCTCGCAATTCCACGGTCCGTTCCCTGATCCCGGTTTCGCTTAACCTCGAGTTTACGGCCGCCGGAGAGGTAAAACAAGCCCTCAAACGAGATCAATTACAGCGGCCGTTTCTAAGACGGCGCATCCCTTGGCCCTTATCGAGTGGTCCAGAACATATCCCGGACCGATTCGGCATTCCTATTAGTAAGGCTCGGCATCCCCGGTCGTCCTGACCCACGGGACACGGGAAACCGTCGATCCTCGAAGACGCGCCGTGAGTATCCAAAGTGGCACCCTCTCTCTCGCGCGCGCTCGACCTGGCTCTATGCTTCTCTCTCGGGGCTCCAAAGACCTTATCTATGCCCGCTAAGAGAACCGACACTGCGACCGCAAAATACGATGGCATAACCTCCGCGTGAGGTCCAACGCAGTTTATAAGGTACCCCGGAATAACGACCTCGAGCTAGAATTATCTTCAGGGGTGCAAGGAAGAAGAGGGTGAAGTGATATCCTGAAACCTGCCAGGATATGTGCAGATTGATAAAATCGAGGAAGTATAAATATGGAAAATTCCGTTTTCCACGGACCAGACATATGGTATTACTGGGTTAAGGGTGTTCGAGGAGAGTTAATATACATTTTGATAAGGGGTGCGTGGATGAGAATAAATGTTACACTTGTAGGAATCGATATGGAGAGCGGAAGGAACGTTCCGGGGAGCGCCGAAAATAACTTGGCGTAAACGGAGCCTATCCCGGTGATTAACTTTAATCGAGTGGATAATCGGCCTCTGCAAGTCCGGCGAATTAACATAATTGACGTGTCATGGAATTAATCACGCCGCTGCCCGGCGAGCATATATATATATATTAAGGGGCACGCAAAGCGGTCCAGCCATTAATTACGATATACTTCTGCAAATAATGAATAATAGTGATAATCCTAATTGACGTCTACAAGTCTCGCAGATTAACATAGCTGGTGAGTCTTGATCGCCGCGTTGCTCCATTGCGTGACCGCACGTTAGGAAGCTTTCACGGTAATCCAGGAAAAACTGGGAAATTACTTAAACAACTATTTCGCCGAATAACTCTTACCTAAATCAACCAACGAACCCACCAAATCCATAACCACTCCGGAGATTAATTAGAGCCACCCCAAACATCTCACCCCTCGTTTCCCGCAATTCCACCCTAATTTCGCATACGTTTGATAATGAACTATTAATTATTCCCCCGATAATTACCGCCCGAAAGTCTAATTTCTGTACATCAATTCGCCATGTCTCCATAGGTGCGACAACCCCGGCGAGCACCTCGACATCCAATTCCCCCAATTATGAAAAATAAATCCATAACCACTCCGGAGATTAATAAGAGCCGCCCCAAACATCTCACCCCTCGTTTTCCGCAATTCCACCCTAATTTCGCATACGTTTGATAATGAACTATTAATTATTACTCCGATAATTACCGCCCGAAAGTCTAATTTCTGTACATCAATTCCCCATGTCTCCATAGGTGCGACAACCCCGGCGAGCACCTCGACATCCAAATCCCCCAATTATGAAAAATAATTCCCCCGATTAATTAAGCCGCGCCAACTCGATAATAAATCCACCTCTTCCATTACCGCCTATAATTAAAGGGGCCCATTGGGAGCAACGCTTTGCTCCCACTTTCCCCGAGCATTCTCGTGAAAAACGACGCGTAGCCGTTTGAATTCGTAGGAAATCCTTCAACGGGAGTCGAAATGAAATTATTTTCGGGCTTACGGCTCAAGGCAACGAGCAACAAGCCGTTTAATACGCGCTCACGGCGTTCCCTTAATTCATCTCGGCATTCGTTAACGGGCCGCCGTTGCAGCGCGGTCCGCCGATTGTGTACGCGGCATTACCTATTCATAGACAATTATATTTATGCCCAGCGAGAGACATCTAAATGCTAATATCGGATATATCCCCGTGACTTCGTTTTCCCACAGGCCACCCTTCGCCATTTGTAGAGTCCGAAGCTTCCCTGGCTGCACTTCGCGACTGCACTTTACTGCACTTTACTGCACTTCGCGCAACGCCGTTATGTCGGCCGTTTCTACTTCATCCCTTTACGGGTCTCGTTAACGGCCCGTAAAACCGTCGGATCGCCTCGTTCGATTGTTTATAATCGGCCGGAATCGACAAATAAGCGACGCCTCGCAATCGGCGTAAATCCCAACGAGCCCGTGCGAATATGTTAATCAATTTTCCGTTTTTCATTTTTTTTCCTCTTTTTTCATGCATCTCGCCGCTACGTCGAGAGCAGGAATTTTTATCGGCGACGGTTTAACGGTATCATTAAATCATCGGCGTTTGTGCCCATGGAACGATCGCGTGATTAACGCTTTTGGCCCCGATTTCTTGGCGTTATGTCGAGCCGAGCTCTTTGAGCTTGAACGTTAACGAATGTTTCTGCGGCTCGTTGGGATGCAGGGATTGATAAATCTCCCGCGTTAAATCGCGGCAAATAAGCTGACGAGGTGGCAATTCGAATAAATGTATGAGCAATGAGGGCTGCAAGACCTCTCCCGACTGAGTAAAAAGGAAATGTAAAGTACGGTGAAATTGCAGAGACGGGCAAAGAAATTTGCGCGACGCTTCGGGGGAAAAAATTAAGCAACTTTTATCTTATTACGGTGTTAAGTAATTTGGAGAATTAACATATAGAACCGAGGGCGTTAATTCCCGAGGAGTTCTGGTCAAAGCTCGCGTTATTAGCCGCGTAAGTAACGCGTCGTTAAGCGCGCTTTCGCCGTTTGTCTAAATGCAAAATCGCCGAGCGAATCGCATTGTTACTTCGGACTCTGGAGGTGAAGAGGGAAAGAGAACGAGGGGAAGAGAGAAATAGGGGGACGCCGTTACACTCTTCGTCGGAATTAATACGCTAATTGTCGCGCTCGAGAAGCGCGACTAACTGAATTCGGAATTAAAGTTTGATCGTAGACGTTAGCGCCAATTTAACGAGCCCCCGAATTTCCCCAAAGTTTCTCCTCCTTTCGTGCGCTTCGCCCTCGTTAACTTAACAATGATAAGTGATTTGCGTTCGAATGAGCAAAAACGAGCGCACGGTCGTTCTCGAAATTCCACTTTTTTTCGTGGAAACTGTCAGAAGGCATTTATCGGGCGTTTCGTTCGATAGGGAATGAGGAAAATCGGTAACGAATATATAAACCTAAGAATAGACATATCTTAAGGCTTTCATGGATTTTTACAAAATTTTATATACGTGATCGTTTAATTATCCACTTTAAATTTCTTCTGAATTTTTTGTACCATCGAACCTCGTATACACTTTTGAATATTCTCCATCGTCGAGTACCTTCGTACATCAAGGTATTAAGTTTCAGCTTTCGTAGATTTTTACAAAATTTTATATACGTGATCGTTTAATTATCCATTTTAAATTTCTTCTGAATTTTTTGTGCCATCGAACCTCGTATACACTTTTGAATATTCTCCATCGTCGAGCACCTTCGTACATCAAGGTGTTAAGTTTCAGACTCCCTTCCAGAAGGGGGTTCAAAGTAACGACAGCAAAGGGGTTGCATAATGGGGGTGGCGAATCTCGCGCGGAGAGCATCGCCAATTTCGCATTAATCGTCGCACATTGGGCCAGCTTGCGCTCGCGCGAAGAGAGCGTGAGATTCGATTACGTATGGAAATCCTAGACGGCCCTATCGAGGAAATCAATTACGTCTAATGAATACAACATGAAGGGTAAAGGGTTAGCGCCGTCGCGACGCGCCCGAAATCAAATATGACCGGCTTTTAAATCTCCACCGCAATCGACTCCTTCCAAGTGATTTGCATTTAATCGGCCGAGTCTCCTATGTCAATCGAGACTTGATTCACCCCCTTTTCTCAAGGGGTGAGAAGATTTTTTAATTCACTCCGAAGGGAGTACGCGTCCAGACTCTTAATGTCACCTCGTCATCGTTACTTCCGTAATTACCTCGATTACCCCGCACGAAATAATACTATGAATATTTAAATGCCTCATTTAAGGGGAAAATACTCTTCCTTGTTCTCAGAGATATCCATTTAAAATAATGTCTCGTGTTCATAGTTTAAATACAGGGTGAGTCGCCATCAAAGAAATATTTTATTAAAACTCCGAAATAACGCGAAGGGAAGAATGACTGTATTATCAGAAACTGAAAATGACTATCGTTGTTTTATGAGTCAGGGGATGTAAAAATTTTGAAAATGCACGATCTATCCTCTGGCTCTATATTCATGCAAATTTTACGCTGTGCAGGTTCCTGCAGCACCGATACTTAAAAAGAAATACTCCCGGTGTAATTGTCAGGTGACTCAGCCTGTACATGCAAATGAGACGTCAATTCGTCGTTGAGGGTGACTCACCTTCGCCGGGTCGGACTTCTCCGATTGGTCGGTGAAAGTCTGCGACCCCCTCGAGACGGTGTTCCGGCGAGGGGTGGTGGCGCCATCTTGCGAGGGGCGCACGAACTCGATCCTTCCGCCCTCCACGACGATGTTGGGGGCGGGCGGGAAGTTCTCTGTATTACCGATCGTATCGCAGTACCCCAGGAATCCGGCTTTCTCGCCGTACAGGGGGTGGATTTGTCTGCAACGGTCGATAAAGAAGGGATGACTTCTCCGAATGCACCTAGCAGTGGAAATTTGCCAGTACGCCACTTATCGACGAGAGTACCCCGAAACGTTACCATAACATTGGTCATTTAAATATGGTATCTATCTTTACAAAATAAAATAAAAAAGGAATGAAGGTAATATAAAATTGATTCTTTTGCGTAATTGGACCCCATGTTTTTTATTGCTTTTCATCATCACTGCTTTACTCCATTCAGCAGAAAATATCTACCGAGGAGCAAAAGTAACGTCAAAGTCGAATTCCTTAACCTCAAAAACCCTGCGTTAAAAATAAAAGGAAACTAATAAAAAAAAAAGAACCTTTTCCCTCTACGTTTTTCCACTCTCGTTTAAACCACACCTTTTAGGCCATCGTCAGTATTGGAAATGTACCGAATAATTTCGAATGTATTAATTCAAGCCCTCGTTTAATTTATGAATATTGATACGATAATTCATAATGTGATCTGTGGACGAAAGTTATCCAAATTGAAACGTTTGGGAATAATCCGTAGCTCGGATAGTTTCCTCCTCTGCCGATGCAAATTGCCGCGCTATGCAGCGAAACTGCATCCGAAGTAATTATCGAGTGCATGGAGTAATCATGCTGGAACAAATTGACGAATGGCCCCATTACTCTATCTCTCGGTGGCTGCTCTAAATTCAATCGGCGATACTTACCGGCGTGATGTATGCCCCCGACGTCACCGACACACCGCGTGAGATTAATGTTTACAAGTCGTATCGACATTTATCTAAACACTTAATCCGGTTGCATCTTACCCAACTCAACTGCGACAATCTGCTTAATCGACTCGAAAGACCGTCACGCTCGCTGACCGATGCAACTGCACCGGCCGATTCTCCGAATGCATACTTAAGGAAATAACCCCGACGTTGCATAAACCGAGAGCGATGATGGCATGCGGAATTACGTAACTACTATGACAAAAACGGTGAAAAAGAAAAAAACGAGAACAACGGTACGCCGTCAAAAATACACAAACTCGGGCAACACAACCTTCCAGACATTGTTAAATGATTTATCCAAACTCCAGGAGATGCTCCCTCTTCCTCCTCTCTATTTTGCACGTTTTTCGAAAACATTAAGACTGTGTTTCTAATAATAGTAATTTGCAATTAATGAGATGGTACGTTAATTATGAATTTGGAACGAAATTGCTGTTATAAGCTGCGTTGATTTATTCTAAAAAGAGCTATATTTAGTTCAGGCGTTTGAGAAGTCGGCATTTTAATGAAATTCTTGTAATTAAGTAAATAAGAAGGGGAAGGAAAAATAAAGCACTACTTAGTAAAAGCCCCGAGGTGACCAATGTTATGGAGGGCCATTATTAAATCAATTTGGCGTCGACTATAATTCGACTATAATTAATATTGTCTTGATAGAGAGGGTGTTCGAGCTAATTAATATCGAAAATGTTGATACTTACCTAGGGGATGGAATCGGGCGTGGTTTGTCGAGAGTTAAGTCCGAGCTTAAGGGCGAGTCGGGGCCGCGGCCGCTGGAAGCCCTGCACAAACCGAATTAACACAACGTTAGTTGAATTAACATTCGGAAGCCAACAACTTATGTAGGACCGGACGGCGCTCGTAATTGAACGGGGTCGACGCCCGCAAATGCGTCGCGACGATCAATCACGAGTGATAATTAAGGTTAAATAATAGTAAATGAGTAGTTGCGCGACTTCGTGCCATTTCATCATTATGCGTGATTGAATCATTAAGTACGATTGGACGTACAAAGTAATACACACGATTCCACTTAATCTTATCGACATTATGCATTTATTTCCACACACCCATCGTGTGCTAAAAAATAATCAAAGCGTTCAATCGGATGCAACTTACTCTCCCCTTGTGCCATATTTATTAATAAAATGGGAACAACTATGGTGAGTATTCTAAAATTAGAGCAAACCATGTTAAATTAAACCTTTCTCTCTAAATAGATGTAATTAGACCAGAGTAGACTAAACGTTAATATTATCCTAAGTTCGAAATTCCATTTCTTTTGTTCCTACCTGCGGCGTGAATTTTTCTCGCGACTATAATTCATTCTCCTGATTTATTTCGAATACACCCAGCAGGCGTTACAGGGAAGGGTGATTAATTAGAGGGTGAATTTAAGAGGTGCTTTAATGAGACAGCCGTAAGACGATTTTCTCTTCACGGGTTCTCGCCTCTCAAAAACGAGTCTTCGGCGAACATCCGGCTTTGAAAGTCGGCCTTTGAGAGTTCGAGAGCGCCGATGTTAATTGCGCGATGCATCGCATCGAATATCCCGGCATCCTGGCAGGGGATGATTGACGATCCCGGGAAACTCGAAGAAATTTCCCGGGAGTTGCTCATCGGGAGCGCATTAATCCAGCCCAAAGTTCGACTTGACGAAGACGAAGTCGAAACGCCGGCCGGCATCTCTTGCATTAATTACTCCTTCCGGAAGTTGCCGAACTTCGCGGAAAAACTACCGCCAATTAGAAACCGCCCTTCCGGTCGAGATAGCGACGCCGAACCGTAGGAAGTTTCTCTCTTAATTATCCAAGAATTTCTGGAAAGGTCGGAATCGAAAATTTAAATCTGCGGGGGAAATCTCCGAGGACGCGATATCGAGAGATACTTTCCGCCCACTTTGCGAAATTGGGACTTTGCGAGGAAAAGCTTCGTTTGGATAGCCGATTACGATGATGGCGCGGAATCGGGGGAGGAATTCGCGATTTAACGAGCAACTAGAAATGATATCGGAAATCGTTAATGGCTTCCACCGCGTGTCTCTTCCGGTGTACGAAATACATTGGCAAGACGCGTCTCCGCTTTCGCGCGATGAATTCCCAGCGTTTCCAATCGAGCCGCTCCTTACGAGTGATCTGCATTCCCTTAATGACGTCTTGCAGTTCCGCTTTCGAGAACGTGTCCATTAAGGGTTCGGCATTTAATATCTCGGGCGGTAAATTGCTCCAAATCGATACCCTCGAAATATTTTCTAAGGAACAAAAAGAGCTCCGCGGATCAATTTCCAGAACGACTCGCAAACGATATTTGAATTCCATGACAACCAGTTTCCATCGTAAATCTATTTTTTTTTTTTACATCAAGCTTATAAAGGTAAGATTTCCCTAAAGTATAACATAGGTAAACAAAGTTATTCTAAACTTCGAATTAACGAGTAATATTATACATCAATAAAAGTACACCTTAAACATTGACGAAACACTTCCTCTCTGCGAGTTAGATCCGTACCAGAGGGCCTTATGCCCCAAGAAAATAATTGACGATAATATCAATACATGTTATTATCATACATTAATGAGATACATGGGAGAAGACAAATTTGAGCTTGTCTCAATTCCTTTCAACGGCTCTCTACACGATTCCAGAAGAAGACTTCACTCCTCGAAGACGATAAACGCGTCGGCTCGATCCGTAGGTGGAATAAATTGAGGCTCGTCTCTTCTTCTCGAGCCGCAAAGAACCACAGGTCATAGGTCGGTCTTGTATCTCTAATTACACCGTGGCGAAACGTCCGAAGGAGCGTGCAAGCCCATAGGAAATAAAAAATGCAACATGGTATAGAGAGTCGCCTTCGTTAAGAACTGCCTCGCCGACCCTCGTCGAACGAGCTTCGACTATTTCCGCGACACGCGACTACTTTCTAATTGAAACGCATATCCCTTGGCGAAAGTCCTTGGCGAAGGGCCTCGTTTAAAAAACACCCACGGGGACAAAACCTCCCCCTTTCCCCTTCATCCCTTTCTGACCGGCTCTCTCTTGCGCGCGCACTTCCTGCAAAGAACTTTCGCACGCTCTCGGAAAATCTCGGGACGTGAGGCAACCTTCCCTGGAAATTGATGTGTAATTAAAAAATATAAAATAAGGGGGGAAAATTACACGACTCTGCGGACCTTGTAAATGGAAATACTGCCTAGCGATTCCTCCCTTCACTTTGCTCCACTTCGAGGAATGCGCGTTCCTCTCTGCGCAGCCCTGTTTAAGAACGCGTTCGTTCTGGTGAAAACGTGGTTTCATTTTCCACCCTCAAGTTTTTCTTCATTATTGTGTATGAAACTCTTCTTCTATTTTTTTTTTTTTTTAAGTAACAAAAATCACTTTTAAAATTAACCCATTACGGTACGAACGTGTTCACGTAGGCTGAATTTTTGAATTCGATTCTTTAATTTCATCGTATCGATTTCAATTTGAATGGAAGTCTTATGCTACCTTAGACATTACATAGAATCACAGGTTAACGACAGAGATGTACATCTCGAGTTCTGAATAATTATTAAATATGCATATATTAGAAAATATTGAGTATTATAAGTAGGACGTAACGAAGGAATGAGTTAAAGACTCCCTCCCCGGATTCACGACAGAGAACCGCATTTTGAGTGTTAAGCAATTATTAGAGATATTAAAAAGTACTGGGTAGTGAAAACCGAAATGAGGAAATCATGATTAATTTTTAACGTTCGAGGAATATTTCGAGTAAAGCCCGCCGCAACTTTCGTGTAAACTATTTCACGTGGCAAGGGAATCGTTTCTTTTACGGCACTCCTGTAAAGTGGCGTCTCTTTTTAAGGAAACTATACACGTTGGGAAACACAATTTCGCGTAGGTAGAACGTCGGCTCCTCCACTTTGACTAGAGGCAGAGCAGACACGGTCCAAAGTGTTCGCTCGTCTCGGGCCTGCATAAAGAACACACGGAAGAAAGAGGCGAGGGTGTGCGAATGAATCCTCCGGTGGGAGGGTGGAAACCCCCGCCTACCCCTTTCGCCCAGACCTGGGGGGTAGTTTTAATAACTCGAATGACGGCTTTCGCGGAAACGGCCATTGACGTAACGAGAACCGGGAAGAGTCGACGCGTCGAAGTGAAAATACGAAAAAAAAGGGAGAATGAGGAAAAGAGAGGATCCGGGGACAAAGAAATAGTAAAGAACGAAAGATGAACGAGTCTTTTCGAGAAGAGGACAAGCCTGTGTTGATTCGATGATTTACGAATTCTAAGTCTTCACTTTTTGGAGAAATCTTCCGCCAGGAAGTATCGTTGAAATTGTTTATTTCAAATAAATGTGGATATAAAATGTCAATCGATATCGCTGGAGTGGGAGGAATTCAGGTGAGGAATGGAATGATTTAATGGATGTAGGGTAAGGTGACATTTTTTAACGATTTTAATGCACCTTCGAGTTGCCGCGCAACTCGCGAGGGTATGTCGGCAACGCTCTCTACAGTCCCGAGTTTTGTTTGACATACAATTAGCCAAGTGTTAAGTGCATTTCTTACGTACGTCTAACTGGAAGTAATAGCAGCCCTCGGGTTACAAGTTGTTACCTGCCTCGGGAATTATTTTCTCCTGTCTTTTAGTGCACCTCGCGAATGCATTACCGATCTCTTCGGGAGCGTTAACGAGGTATCGCTCGAAGGACTCGAGATGTGACGAGTTATTCCCATCTGTCCGAGGGCAATAATTTGTACGGTAACTAAAATTGACTGCCCTCCTAATTATGCACACAATGTAACTCATTCACGGCGTAGCATAAATTTAAAAACACTCAGCGGTTAATTAAAATTGAAATTAAAAGAGTTTTTAGCTAGAGAGAACAAAACTCGTCCCCCTTAAAATGAAATATATATATATATATATGGAAAAGAAATGTAATGCCTGTAATTATAATTTTAATTAACCCTTAGCTCAGCTGGATTTCACATCCCCCAATAAAATTGATTATATATACCAGTTAAATGTAAATTTGCATAACTTTCATAAGTGCGCAATTATAAATACATAAATGTTAATCTCGGCACTTTTTCTGTCGGTTTATTGAACCCTGGGGAGCGACAAAATCAATCTTGCAACCGGAATCGACAGTAGCAAAAGGGGTGAACGAAACGTAGCCGGAGCAGTGGGGCATCGTTTTAACACGCTTACATCGTATTACTATAAATCATCGTTGTCTCACTCACTTCCGGTTTGCTGTACCGAGGTATAGCATACCACGTACGTACCACACATGTACCACGCGTATACGGTAACTCATGCCACTCTCTAACGTGGACGTTTCCCTGCATTAAATCTGTCGGCCGCTCCTGTCGGTCCGCCGGTATTTATATTATATTTATCGCAATAAATATTTCCGCCGATAACATCCGGAGCCGATTCGAGATTTCAAGACGCGTGTTAGTTTCTTTAACCATTACCTCGATTGCATCTGACCGTTAATGGGAGGACTTTCGTAATACCTATAAATCGAAGAGACATGTAAAACGTAACGTGATAATTCACACTCGGAGGGAACGATAACGTGCCATTACAAAGAGTGAGAATTAATCGCGGGCTCCAAAGGAAAGGTAAAGGGAAACTGTGGTGGGCTCGGTAACGAAGAAAAACCGATAATAAGGGGCAAATCGTGAAGAATGCAGCGTAATGGCCGCGCGTGCAGATGGAGTCCGCGGAAAATTGCAGGCGTTTAATTACGACCTCGGGGAAAAAAAAAATGGCGACTTCGTCCCTT